AATATATATTTTTTTATTTTTATAAAAATGCCCACCCCCCCACCAAGGCTCTGCCACACAAGCACACACTGCATCACACACACACACACTGCACTCATACACACACACTGCACTCATACACACACTGCATTCATACACACACCCTGCATTCATACACACACACTGCACTCATACACACACACTGCACTCATACACACACTGCATTTATGCACACACACTGCATCACACACACACATTGCACTCATACACACACACTGCACTCATATACACACACTGCATTTATGCACACACACTGCACTCATACACACACTGCATTCATACACACACTGCATTCATACACACACACTGCACACTCATACACAAACACTGCACTCATACACACACTGCATTCATACACACACTCTGCATTCATACACACACTGCATTCATACACACACACTGCATTCATACACACACACTGCATTCATCATATACACACACTGTAAATAAATATTCAATTAATATAATTTTTTAGGATCTAATTTTATTTAGAAATTTACCAGTAGCTGCTGCATTTCCCACCCTAGTCTTATACTCGAGTCAATACGTTTTCCCAGTTTTTTGGGGTAAAATTAGGGGCCTCGGCTTATATTCGGGTCGGCTTATACTCGAGTATATACGGTAAACCTACCAAATCAATATCCTGGTTTAGACTACATTTTAAAGTTCTTAAGTTGTAAATCCATTGTGCTACTTTTTTGTTGAGCTCTATTTGCCTACCTCCTCCTCTCCAGTGTTTCTCAGCTGTATCGATACCAATAGCAACAAAAGATTCCCAGTGTCATGGCTACTAGTGTGGTCCAACACGCAGAAACTATGTAAACATATACATAAAAAAGGAAAGGAAATAAAAAGGACAGAGCGTATACCGGACCTTAGAATGGCCGGACTAATACGCTAGAGATAGAGAATGGTCAAAGGGAAAGCCGAGGGCAAGGAAGCCAGAAATACTCAGATACTGTTTAAACAAGCCAAGTCAGGGGAACCAGAATTCGGAATAACCAGGGAAAAGCCAAGATCAGGATACCAGGAAGTAATGTTCACAAAGATAAACGCTCTCTAGGGAACCAGGAACATGAAACCACGACAGGGCAATGAACTGGAGTGAATTAGGGCTTTAAATATCCCTCTCTAGGCTCTGATTGACCTCTGACCCCAGAACGTGCGCCTGCATTGACGTTGTGACGTCACACGCACGTTCGTATAATTTTTTTGGGGGAAGAGCCATGGATGGACACGACCTCATGGTCGGCGCCATCTTGGATTTCCCCGAGCAGCGTGGAGGAGCGGTTCCCGTCTCGCCACTGAGCAGGTAAGCTCAGTGAGTCGGTGCAGTCGTGCCGGTCAGGCACTGACGCACATGGCGGCAACCCGGGGGCCGTGACAGTACCCCCCACTCGAAGACTGCGACCCGGACGGGAAGGAGCCGGCTTGCAAGGGAAATGGTTGTGAAACAACCGGACAAGACGGGGAGCATGAACCCGGTCCGCAAGAACCCAACTACATTCCTCCTGGCCATATCCCTTCCAGTCAACCAGATAAGACAGAACACCTCTAGAGAACTTGGAGTCTAAAATAGTTTGGACTTCGTACTCCTCTTGATTACCTATTACCAAGGGCGTAAGAGGAACAATCATTTTTGTGTATCGATTGCATTGAGGGGCTTAAGCAATGATACATGGAAGGAATTAGCAATTCTCACATGAGCAGGGAGTGCCAATTAATAAGTCACAGGGTTTATACGACAGAGGACACGAAAGTGACCTATGAATCGAGGAGCTAGTTTCAAGGAAGGAACCTTGAGTTTGATATGACGTGTGGACAACCAAACCCTGTCCCCCACTTGATAAACAGGATTGGCACCCCGTTTCTTATCAGCTTGAATTTTAGTACGTTTAGAGGCATTCTGTAATGCTGAATGAACAGAATCCCAAGTGTCTTGGATAGAAGTCAAACAGGTGTTTAATGCAGGAATATCAGTCCCGAAAATGCAGAAGGTAAAATAGTGGGGTGATAACCTTGATTTACAAAAAATGGACTGACTCAAGGATTCGTGAGTCGCACTATTTCTGGCAAATTCAGCCATGGGTAAGAGTTCGAACCAATTGGACTAATTGGAATCGATAAAGCAACGCAAATAGGATTCTAAAGATTGATTGGCTCCTTCTGCGGCGCCATTAGTCTGAGGGTGGTACGAAGAGGAAAATGAAAGTTCTATGCCCAACTGTTTACAGAAGGCACGCCAGAACCTAGAGATAAATTGGGTTCCTCTGTCAGAAACAATGTTTTTTGGTACTCCGTGTAAGCGAAAGATTTCCTTTATGAAAATTTGGACTAAATCTTGAGAAGATGGCAATTTTTTAAGAGGTATAAAATGTGCCATCTTGGAAAATCTATCTACAACCATGAGGATGGTGGTATGCCCATTAGAACTGGGAAGTTCCACAATGAGATCCATGGCTAAATGGGTCCATGTAGCATCGGGTATCGGAAGTGGCTGTAGCAACCCAGGGGGAGATCGATGAGATGTTCTAGAAACCGCACATATTTGACATGCCCCTACATAGTCTTTAACGTGTAGGCCACCAAAATTTTCTGGAAATAGCAGAGAGAGTTTTATGTATTCCAGGATGTCCTGCTGTCAGATTATCATGAAACACTCCAAATACTTTCTTCCTTAATAAGGGTGAAACATGCAGTTTGTCCTGAGGTTTCCCAACGGGTGCCTGAGTTTGATCTGCTATTATGGCACCAAAGAGAGAATATATTTCAGTAACTGTAGTAGCAATAAGACGTTTTGGAGGTACAAATGGGGATACCTCTTGTTCAGGGGCTTCATCTGTCTCAAACTGTCTAGAGAGTGCATCTGCCTTGGTATTCTTTGTCCCGGGCCTGTATGTAATTATAAAATTAAACTGGGAGAGGAATAATGACCATCTAGCCTACTAGCATCCAGAATTTAAGCAAAATTCTCATGATCGGTAAAAAGCAAAAGTGGCTCTTTGGAACCTTCCAAGAGATGCCTCCATTCCTTAAGAGCGAGAACAATGACCAGTAATTCCCTATTCCCGATGTCATAATTTTTCTCTGCTGGAGTTAATTTTCGAGAGAAAAAGCCACAGGGATGTAACGGCGCATCAGGACTCTCTCTTTGAGACAGAATGGCTCCTACTCCTGTCTCTGACGCATCTACTTCTAAAATAAAAGGTTTGGTCGGATCAGGGTGCGTCAGGACAGGTGCTGAAGCAAATAAAGATTTTAATCTTTCAAATGCCTTCTTTGCTTCTTTGGACCATAAATTACAATTTGCTCCTTTCTTGGTTAGGTTGGTAATAGGAGCGATTACTGATGAGAAATTCTAAATGAACTTACGGTAGTAATTTGCAAAACCTATAAAGCGTTGTGTAGCTTTAAGGCCTTTGGCTAATGGCCATTGCAAGACTGCTTCCAGTTTGTGTGGGTCCATTTTGAAACCAGAAGGGGATATAACATAGCCAAGAAACTGTATCTCAGTCTGGTCAAACTGGCATTTTTTCAACTTACAGTATAAGCCATTTTTTAAAAGGGTTTTTAGTATGATTCTTACATGTTCGTGATGACTTCTAGGTCTGGGAAATAGATGAGAATATCGTCTAGATACACTAGTACGAATATGTGAAGATATTCTCTAAGGACATCGTTAATCAAGTCCTGAAATACCGCTGGGGCGTTGCATAGGCCAAACGGCATGACCAGGTATCCACTCATGCCCTTCATTAATTCTGACTAGGTTGTATGCGCTCCTCAGATCGAATTTTGTGAATACTCGGGCACCCCTCAACCTATCAAATAGCTCAGAAATAAGGGGAATGGCATAGGCGTTTTTAATCGTAAATTTATTTAGACCCCTATAATCAATACAAGGGCGTAGGTCTCCTTTTTTAGAAACAAAGATGAACCCAGCCACAGCAGGTGAAGAGGATCTTCTTATGTGACCCTTTCTGAGAGCATCCTTAATGTATTCTTCTAAAAAAAGGGTTTCTTGAGGAGAAAGTGCATAAACTCCTCCTTTAGGGGGCATAGTGCCAGGTAACAAATTAATGTCACAGTCGTAGGGCCTATGTGGAGGTAATACCTCCGACTGAACCTTGTTAAATACTTCTTTTAAGTCCAAATACTGCGGTGGGATTTCTGTGGTTAAGGGAGGTGCTATAGGTACATTGATGGTACCGATTCGTTTAGGCACCTGTTTTAAGCAATGACCTCTGCAACTCTTTCCCCAACTCACAATCTCTCCTTCAACCCTATCTGGACATGGATTGTGTTTCTGGAGCCAAGGAAAACCGAGTATTATTGGACATGTAGGGGAAGATATAATTTGAAAAACCATTTCTTCAGAATGTAATAAACCTACTGAGACAGTGATTGGTATAGTTTTGTGTGTGATGAGAGGTTGAGTAAGAGGTCTCCCATCGATAGCCTCTACTGCTATGGGTCTGTCTTTCTGCCTTAAAGGCAGAAGATGTTTGGCAGAAAATTCCTTATCAAGGAAATTCTCCGCTGCCCCAGAGTCAATCATGGCCTCACACTGAACAGTAGTTTTCTTACAAAACAGAGTGATTGTTATAAGAAAGTGGTTCTTAGTCAATTTAGGGAACATATACATCACACCTAAGGTCGGTCCCCGAACGTGCCTTAGGTGTGCAAGTTTTCTGGCCGAACCGGACAATAAAACCTCTGATGTCCTCTTTTGCCACAATATAGGCACAACCCCTTGTTGCGTCTGTATTGTCTCTCCGCCTCAGTCAGTTTGGTAATTCTGCAGGTGGAGCATGACTAACAGTCACTGGGTTAGAGAAACGAGGGGCTATAGACAAGTTTGTACGTCTAGTATGCTGTTTGTTTTTCTCCCTCTCTCTGAGCCTGTTGTCAATGTCAATCATGTATGCAATAAAATCATTAAGCGGTTTCATCTTGTATATTTTCCGCTAAACCTTCCGAAAAAGCAGCCACCAAACCACTATTGGTCCAGTCAACCTCAGAAGCTAATGTCCTGAACTCTATGGCGTAATCGGCTACAGAGCGGGTGCCTTGTTTTATTCTCATTAAGGCTCTGGCAGCGTTTTTCTCTTTTCCCTTTGGCTCAAAAGTGGCTTTAAATGCCGTTAAAAATTCATTATAACCACGGGCAACTGGATTTCCACTCTCCCATAAGGGATTGGCCCAGGTTAAGGCCTTGCCTATTAATTGGTTCATAAGATAGACAATCTTCGACTTATCTGTAGGGAAGGAACCAGGGGAAGCCTCAAAATGATATTCAATTTGGTTAAGGAAACCTCTGAATTCTTTAGAATCACCTCCAAAACGAGGGGGAGGTGAAAGGGTGATGGATGGAGGTTTATATACTACAGGTGCAGGTATAGGTCGCGGAACTACAGGTGGTACCGGGGGTGCCTCCAGATAAGCAGTTCTCTGGAGCAAGGCCTGGAACGCTTGGGCAAACTGATCTAACCTGTGGTCCATATCCTGCACCCTGTTCTCACAGGCTATCATATGTTTACATAATTCCGCAGGATCCATGGCCCTGTCGTAATGTCACGGCTACTAGTGTGGTCCAACACGCAGAAACTATGTAAACATATACATAAAAAAAGGAAATAAAAGGACAGAGCGTAAACTGGACCTTTGAATGGCCGAACTAATACGCTAGAGATAGAGAATGGTCAAAGGGAAAGCCGAGGTTAAGGAAGCCAGAAATACTCAGATACCATTTGAACAAGCCAAGTCAGGGAAACCAGAATTCGGAATAACCAGGGAAAAACCAAGATCAGGATACCAGGAAGTAATATTTACAAAGATAAAGGCACTCTAGGGAACCAGGAACAGGAAACCACGACAGGGCAAGGAACTGGAGTGAATTAGGGCTTTAAATATCCCTCTCTAGGCTCTGATTGGTCAGACCCCAGAACGTGCGTTGACGTCGTGACGTCACGTGCATGCTCGTATAATTTTGGGGGGTGGAGCCATGGATGTACGCGACCTCATGGTCGGCGCCATCTTGGATTTCCCAGAGCGGCGTGTAGAAGCGGTTCCCGGCTCGCCGCTGAGCAGGTAAGCTCAGTGAGTTGGTGCGGTCGTGCCGGTCCGGCACGGACGCACATGGCGGCGAGCCAGGGGCCGTGACACCCAGGTGAACAATGGACATGTAGTTTTGGAACACTGTGCTCCGTTTTATTGTTTTTAATGTTGTAGAAATGTTCTGCTAATCTGGTATGTAGTTTTCGTGTGGTCCTGCCAATGTATTGAGCTTTGCATTGGCATTGTAATAGATATATAACTTACATAGTAGAACATTGTATAGAGTTCCTTATATCATATTTCTTCAGTACCCTGAAAATTGGATGTTCTTTTTTGATATCTACATGTGGAACATTTCCCACAGTTCCATTTACACCATTAAGATCCAATACATTTGGAGACATGCCTGTTTTTACTGCAATTTTGTAAATGCAATCTAGATAAAATACTGTGTTTTATTTTTCCATCTGCACTATTTCTCTTTTCTGCTTTATTATAAGCTCTAAAGAATCATTCTTGGTGAAATGCTCGGGTATCTTTCACTTTTTACAGTTCCCTCATGGTAGTTGCCTCTTTCAGCTGGATAATGTACCCTGCCACACTGCAAAAATTGTCCAGGAATGGTTTGAGTAATATGACAAGGAGTTCAAGGTGTTATCTTGGCCTCCAAATTCCCTAGATCTCAATTCAATTGAGCATCTGTGGCATGTTCTGGAACAACAAAGCTGATCAATGAAGGCTCCACCTCGCAACTTGCAGTACTTAGAGGATCTGATGTTTTGGTGTCAGATGCCACAGGTCTTATGAAGTCCATGCCTTAAGGAATAACCCAAACGTTAAAACCGAATATCAGCTTTTAACGTTGCAGTGTTCCTCAAATGTATATGTATTATACTAATATTTGTGTACATATTATAAACCTAAAAAATATCTGAATGAATAAATGCTTATAATAGATACACACATATATGTTAATATACTGTTGTATATACATACATTTCTTTTATTGAAACTTGATGTTTAAAAGACACATGGACAAAAAAAACACACTCATTGACACTGACACACAAACGTACACAGACCAACACACACTCATCATTGACACACAGTCTGACAAACAAACTGACACACATTCATTATTGACGCACAGTATGAGACCCAAACACACAAAACGACACACAAAAACAAACATACACCCATTATTGACACTCTATCTGACACACAAACATCATGGACACAAAAACACACACTCATTGACACACACATATACTGACACACACAGGCAAAAACATATTTACAGCCACATACACACACTCCCTCTGACTGACTGACTTACTGCTCTTAGGTAGCAGCAACCATGATTTTGATGCAGAAACGCAGGCTGATACTTCATCACAGCCAATAGTTGAGCTAAGGCCGCCGGATGTGACTTTATGTATCCCAGCAGCCATCTTATAGCAGCATTTAAAAAGCCAGCAGCTAGCGCAGACCAGCCCCAGTAGGCACAGAAGACATCTCTGTGCACCTCCTTCCTGCCGGTCACGCAAACTTTGCCCCCCTGGGGTCTGTGACACCTTAGGGTAGCACTGGCACTGTATCTCCCACAACACTATGTGCCTGGGTAAGGAGGTTAAAAGTGATCTTTGTGTGGCAGCACACTGAGTTATTTGGCTTTACTCAGCTCGGGAAAAAAGGCAGCAGTAAGGTGGTAAGGCAGTCACACCTGGAACATTGAAGCGTTTTAATGTGTGTTACTCTGCATCCAGACCTGCTCACTGCATCCTATAGTATTTCCAGTTGTTTCTGGGCATGTCTGGTGCCATTATGGAATCCCTTGTGTTGGGCATTTACAAAAGCTCCTAGAATATTACTGTATGCTCTGGACTTTTCTGTTAGCCACTAAATTAAGACAAACCATCATTGTTTTTAGTTTTCTTTTGTGTTAAAGTGTTAATTGTGCTTGACTGTGTAGGTCTGTACAATATTATTCATTCTGACCTTGCTACTACTTCAGGAATAAACCACAATAACCTTGAATGTTTGTGTTACTAAAAACAATGTGTTTCAATCACCCGTGAAATGATATCCACAGGGGTACTAACTGCCTCAGTGATGTTGCTAAAGAATATTAATAACCAAAAAACCTACTGGCTTTCACATTTTCATTAGATTTTAAAATATATTACCATGCTAAATGGCAGAAAAGCAGTCATCTGACACTTGTAATGGTAATGTACAGTACAAAAACATGTCTAACAATCTATGAACACTCTATTAATATGACTGTTCTTTAATTTATGTGTGTGTAGGGATGCAGTGTGTGTGTAGAGAAGCAGTGTGTATGTGTGTGTAGGGATGCATTGTGTGTCTAGGGATGCAGTGTGTATGTAAGGATACAGCGTGTATATGTGTGTAGGGATGCATTGTGTGTCTAGGGATGCAGTGTGTATGTAAGGATACAGTGTGTATATGTGTGTAGGGATGTATTGTGTGTCTAGGGATGCAGTGTGTATGTAAGGATACAGTGTGTATGTGTGTGTAGGGATGCATTATGTGTGTGAGAGTGTGTTTGCTGGTAAGGATAGGGGCTGTGGGGACTGAAATGGGAGCATATTTTATTTTGTTAATGTTGTTAAAAAAAAAAAATAGTATATCTACTCCTCCCTGTTTCCTACCACCATCCAGGGAGGGGGCAGCATATTCCCTGGTGGTCAAGTTGTGCTGCAGATGCTCTCTGCCTTCACCTTTGCTGGGTAAAGGCTATTCCTATGAGTCCACGTATAACCAAGAGTTGCCATGGTTACCGTGGAAATCCTCTGAAAGTTGGGACTCGGCCAGCCGCAGAGGTGAAGGTAGAGACCCTCTTCCCCTTCCTGCTGCGCAAACTCTGCATAGGCCCATGGAGGGAGATAGAAAGATCTCTTTGATCGAGTCTGTGTGCATGTTAGGGGCCCAGTCTTGCAGGGCCCTCAGGTGGTCTGGACCCCTTACAAGTAAAGGGGCTGTACCCTCTGATTGGCCCACGGTAACAGGGGTTGCACCTGCGGCCGGGCCCCCTGAAGTGATGTGCCCAGTCGCAGCTGTGACTCCTGCGACCTTTGTAGGTACATACATACAGACACACATACATACACAAACACACATACAGACACAGATACACAAACACACATGTAAAATGTATGTCACCCTCTTGTTTCCTACATTTTAGGTGCAGGAGGGTGACTTCCTTGGGGTCTAGTGGGTCAGGCTGAATGGAGTCAGACCTCCCACTCTGATTCTCTCCTTCTCCTCCCTTGCAGCGCTCTATATTAGCTGGGAGGAATCATTTCCTTCCATGCTGACCTCATCACAGGGGGCCCTGGAAATACATCGCATCGTGTGTCCCTAAGAGCATGGGCCACCGAATGGACCGCTGAACACGCGGCCACAGCAATTTTACTGAGCTGGGTGGGGCCTTGCCACATTGCCGGCACCATGTTGCAGGGGTCGGGACTGCTGGGCCTAGTCCCAGCTGTGACCCCTGAATCCACAGTAGGTCCACCACTGTGCTAAGGTCTGCAAGAATTTAACAGATCTAGTTTCAACTGTTACTTTCTTTTTAAATCTGTAAGCAGTGACTCTGTATTTTCTGTCAGATTGTCTTTTATGCTGACATATTTTATATTGCTGCCAGTTTACAGGCTTTACACCAGGAAATCTATTACTCTTGATCGGTCAAGTTACACTAGTATTTTAAGGCCGTAAAAGACTAACGCAAACTGGTAATTCTAACATATCTTTAAAGATACACAGCGTGAAATTGTATTCCTTGTGCTTCTCTGTTTGCACAGAAATCAACCTGAAAACGTGCAAATAAATATTGTTCATTTTGTGTTTATTAGATAGAAAACATTGGTATAACCTGTAACATAGACATTTTTAATGTTATTCACTAAAGTGTGAATTGTTGGGAATTCAAAGTAAGTTCCAAATTGTAGACCAACAAACACCACAGAGCTGACATTGAGAATTTCAGCTATTTAGGTAAAAAACATTTTTTTACTTTGAATTCCTGAGAGTTCTCACTTAAGGGAAAACTGTAGATAGATATATTCCTAACCCTATATTGCCTTCTGTCCTCTCCTCCCCCCACCCTCCATCACATGCCCCCCAGCA